AACAGCAGCAGCAGCAGCAGCAGCAGCAGCAGCCGCAGCAGCAGCATACCCGCCAGGTTGGTTCTCGCTTTTCTGGCTGTGTTTGCTGCTGCTGTTCCTGCGATGTTCTCCGCGCACTGAGAGACAGCATCCAGCAGCAGAGCGAGAAAAGGCTGCGGCAGCAGGCCTCCCTTTGTTTTGCTGCTGCTGCTGCTGCTGCTGCTGTTGCTGCTGCTGCTGCTGTTCTCCTGCAAGGGACTCCCTGGGCATAAGAGGTGAGCAGCAAATGCTGCTGCTTTATTTATATCAAGCGTTGATAGAGAAGGCGAACCAGAGAAACAAGCAGCAAAGGAGACACAGCCCTCCATTCGAGTGTCTGTCTCCTTCTTGGCATGCTTCGCGCATGATGAGGCCCCTGCTGCTGCTGCTGCTGCTGCTGCTGCTGCTGCTGCTGCTGTGTCTGCTGCAGCTCCTTCTGCTGCTGGAGCAGCAGCAGACGTAGAGCTCTCATCCACCAAGCGCTTTTCCCCTTCGCCAGCAGGAGATTCCGATGTTGCTGCTGCTGTTCCTGCTGCTGCTGCTGCTGCTGCAGTGCTTTCGTTAGAACATTCCGCCTTCACCTTTAAACCCGCCTCAGCAGCAGCAGCAGCTTCTCCTGCTGCTGCTGCATCTTGCTGCTTGATGAGTCTCTGCCTTGCTAGGTCATGTACGTCCTTCAGCAGCTGCAGCAAATGCAGCAGAGCGCGCGGCAGCAGCTGCTGCTGCAGAAAGGAGACAGCTGCTGCAGGCTGCAGCAAACCCCAGGAGACACAGTAGACAAACTCAAAGAAGAAGAGAGAGAGTTTTGCTTCTGTCTCCGGAGACACAGAAACAAAGATGACGTCCAGATCTACCGCTCGCACGCAGCTGCAGCAGCAGCAGCAGCTGCTGCTGCTGCTGCTGTCGCTAGAGTCGCTGCTGCTGCTGCTGCTGCTGCATGAGACTAGCTGGTCCTCTATGCCTCCCTCTTGCAGCGCCAGGGGAAGATACGGGAGACATCGCAGCCGCCAGGCCTAAGAAGACAGCAGCAGCACAGCAGCAAGAGCAGCAGCAGCTAAGTGTGGGGCCCCGCAGGGCACCTCATTATGTGGTGTGCTGCTAACTGCAGCAACGCATTAAATGCTGTTTAGGAGAGAGACAGACGCAAGGCCGGTGGTGTAGTCGGCCTCCTAAGGCTTCGAGGTGTACGTGCAGCTCAGGGTTTAGGGTTTAGGGTTTAGGGTAAGAGATGAAACGCAGTCAGCAGCAGCAAGTCCGCAGCATTTGCTGCTGCTGCAGCAATTACTGCTGCTGCAGCATTTGCTGCTGCTGCAAATACTGCTGAAGACGCTGCTGCAGAGAGCAGCAGCGCTGCTAGCGTTGAGCGGGGGTCTGCTTCGGTGTTGTGGGGTGTAGGTACAGCAGCAAAGAGGTGAGCATACACCTGAGATGAGGTGTACATACACCGCATGCAAAGGCCTCTTACCTCTAATCTCTCTACTAGCAGCTGCGAGAAGTTTTTCTCTGTTGTGTGCAAATCGCACTGTCTGTACGGGTCTATTAGAATGCTGCGGTCTACGCCTCCATCCTGCAGCCCGCTGCTGCTGCTGCTGCTGCTGCTGCTGCTGCTGCTGTTGCTGATCAGCTTAACAGGCACGTAGCGATGTGTTGCTGCAGCAGATATCGATTGAAGGCTCATGTCAGCCTTCGTATCCTTCTGGCGAGTTGCTGCTGCTGCTGCTGCTCCTGTTGCTGTTGCTGCTGGCGCTGCTCCTGTTCCTGTTGCTGTTGCTGCTGGTGCTGCTGCTGCTGCTGATGATGCCGAAGGTGGGGTCGCGGCTGTTGCTCCGGACCCCACCCCTGTCGTAGAAGCAGCGGCATTAGCAGGTGCTGCTGCTCCTGCAGCAGCAGCAGCTGGTTGCTTTGTAGCAGCAGCAGTCATAGTGCTTCACTTTCACGTCAGCAGCAGCACCGAAAACAGCAGACAATGCACGCGATGCAGCGAGAAGCATGCTGCTGCTGCTGCTGCTGGTGTTGTTGTTCTGCTGCAGCGCAACAAACAGCAGCAGCAGCAGCAGCAGCCGCAGCAGCCGCAGTAGCGCGAGAAGCAACGACGACAGCAAGCTGCAGCGTGTCGCCTTAATCCCTCTTTGAAGGCGCTCTCGGCCTCATTCCTAATAAATAAAATGTAAATATGGTTAAGGAGTAGGTAAATGAAAAAAAGAGTAGAAATACCCGCAAGAAAATGCAAGAGTTGCGGTGTACGTACACCCCAGGCTGCTGAGGTCTTGCTGCACTTCTTTATTCTAAAAGAAGAGAACAAATAGAATATTAAACAAATTCAGAAGACAATAGGCCCCATGACCACCAAACAAAACATCAAAACCCCCGATACAAATACCACTTTGGGGCTGCATGCAATGGGGCTGCAATGCGAGCATAAAGAAAAAAACTCCTTCTTGTTTTGCTGCTGAGGTGTACATACACCTCACGCAAACGGCCTTATATAAAGACTTTTGCAGGAATTGTTTGCTAACTCAACAGCATATGAGCGAAGCACTGGATAGCTTAACTCCTCTACCCGCCACACACACTGTTGAGGCTGTAGCTAGCTACAGCTAGCTATAGCTAGCCATAGGGCGCTGTAGATGGCGGCGCCTATCTGTACGGAGCTCCAGATAGCTGTAAGCAGCTGTATCTATCTGTAGCTAGCTGCGGAGAGCTGGAGCTGTCTGGGAATACCTGTGGCTAGCTGTGGCTAACTGTGGCTAGCTATAGCTAGCTATAGCTAGCTACAGCGTCCACATTGTGTGTGGTAGTTGCTGCGCATGTTAGTTTGATTGATGCAGACGCTCCCCTTCACTGTGCAGCAAATTGTTGCGCGGCGCTTCGCTGACTTAAACGCCTGTCTATGCCCCCAACCTTAAGGAGAGCCCCACACCCCTAGACCCCGCTATCCACAGCTAGCCATAGATTCATGCAGCTAACCATAGCTAGCTACATACGTATCATATACCCACGGAGATCTGCACTTGTTGCTTCTGCCTTAAGCCCTAAAGCGAGCACCGTCTCTTCTATGAGTAGAGGGTAGCTCTAGCTACCGCAGCTAGCTGCAGCTTTATACAGCTAGCTAGTTACGATTAGCACCAGCTATGTACAGCTACCTGTAGCTAGCTATGCAGCGCAGCGCCTGCAAGCCCGTCTGGCGGAGTGCGTGGATAAGCTGGGGTGTCTCCGCAGCTACAGAGAACGTAGCACTTGCTGTTGCACCACTGTGGGGTGTGGGGCCCCCTCTGCATGCAATAGTAACTGCTTGCGGCTGCAGGCCTACTATAAGCTGTTCGGGTGTCTCTCTACACTGTAGATATGTTTGTTATTCTGTCTGCTGGTTCTGCTGCTAGAGAGACGAAAGTACAGCACTTTATTATATTTGTATCAAGACAAGGAAGAGGATATTGTAATAGACTATATAAAAGAAAAAATAAAATAAATATCTGCAGGATAAGGAGTCCGCAGGGGCACAAGAAAATAAATAATACAAATGCTGGAGCCTCGCCAAAGAAAGGTGATGGTGACTTTGCCAAACATTTCAGCCCCAAGTTCCGCTGCATGCATGCACTGCATGCATGCATACACTGCATGCATGCATACACTGCATGCATGCATAAAGGGGCATCAAGAGGGGTTTATTTCTTTCGTGGTGCTGCTGTTAGGGGACACGGGGTGGCTGGTTGTCCGTCTCTGTCTCCGTTTAGATATACAGGCGTTTGTCTTTGCATCTCCTCACCAGCCCCTCCAGAAGCATAAATAAAGAAAGAAACAAAATACAAAAAAACCAAGAATCTTCTCAAGGTGGGGCATGCAATGCAGCACAGCAGCATGGCACGGGACAAGCTCGTGGGATCCGATCCCACGAGCCCCTCATCTTCGGGTGTCTCTTATATATCAACCCCACAGATGCTCATGCATACACAACAATCACAAACAGAGACACCTCAGCCTCTGCTGTCAAAGCGCCTCCTTGAGGTGTATGAGCAGCTGCTTTGCTGTTGTTGTCACCGCCAGTGGAAGCAGCAGCAGCAGCAGCAGCAGCAGTAGCAGCTGCAGAGCTCCCCAGACACTGGAGACGCCCAGCAGCAAACGCTGGCTGCATATATAAGCTGCATCTGCTTCAAAGCTGCGGAGACACCCGAAAGGAGACACCCGAAGAAGAAACAGCGGGACAGCCCCAGCCCCAACCACACCTCAATCAGTAAACATCTTTAAAAAACAGCTCCTGTCGCATGCACGCACCCTATATCCAACCATAAAAGGTGTACTTATTTAACAGAGGGGGGGCCCCCCAGGGGCCCCATAGGGGCCCCTCACCTAAAGAGGGGGGCCCCTGCGTCTTCCTCTGTCGCTGCAGCAAGCGGAGGCCTCATCCCAGCTGTATGTGCGTACACCCCAGGTGTACGGCAGGCCTCCACTTCTACCTAATTCTTCAGGTGTCTCCGCGAGAGGCAAAACATGAGAGACACCCCACACCCCACACCCCACACCACCCCCTCGGTGCATGCAACCTCAACTCCTAGGAATGGACGGAGTGAAGAGACGATCCCACCTTCCCCCAGCAGCACCCCACACCCGTCCCACACCCTGACGGCCACCTCAGCTGCTGCTGTTGCTGCTGCTGTTGCTGCTGCTTTGAGTCTGCATCTTGTACAATCAAATAAACCCCAGTACGAAGACCACCACCAGCTGCTGCTGCTGCAGCTTCTTCTGCTGCTGCTTCTGCTTCTGCTGCTGGTGGCGTTGCCGGCTACTACTAATATTTGAGTGCTTCACGAAATGTTTATTGCGTGTGTTCTATAGGGTGTAAAGCGAGTAATACATTTGGGGTGTACATAAACGGAGGGGTTGTTTTTGCTGCTGCTGCTGCTGTTTCTGCTGCTGCTGCTGCTGCTGCTGCTGCTCGAGTTTCGAGAAGCTATTTTTTACTAACGCTCCAGCTCCTAAGGCCTGCCTCTGAGAGACACTTGGCTAAGGCTGTACAGTCTAAGGAGACAGCAAATATCTCACCATTATCAATAGGATGACCGGTTAGTCTTTCAACAAGCTTTGGATGAGAAGCAAGCAAGAACTTAGAAGCTGTCTCCACAGCACAGAGAGAACGAAGCAAAGATAAACCTCTTCTTAATACACCGCTCTCAGGCTCAGTATACTCAGGCTCCATCTCTTCAGGTGTTGTCCATACAGCTCTCTGTACAGCCGGTTCTTGTTGAGCACTCTCTCTTAAAAACAAACAACTCTTCCTCAAATTATCAGCACGAGGTGCGCACTGAAGAACTTTATTAGGGTTAGAGAATCTATCCAAGCCCTGAATAAATGCAGCAGCTGCAGCATCGAGAGGCTCTCCCCCTATTACCTTATCTAACGCAGTTAAAGCTGCTTCCGTATGATCTATATTGCTGCTGCGCCCCCCACTACTGCCGCTGCTGCTGCTGCTGCTGCTGCTGCTGCTGCTGGTGGTTTGGTTTCCGTTGCTGCTGCCCTCATTTGCTCCCTGCAGCGCTGCTGCTGCTGCTGCTGCTGCTGCTGCTGCTGGTGCTGGTGGTGGTGCTGCAGCAACAGGTGACCCCACAGATGCAAACTGCTGCTTGCGCCACCACGTACCGTAATTCCCAACAAGACAATCAAATATATCTCTCTGAAAGCCGTTTTGTATACGTACAGATTTTGTTTTCTTTAAAACAACAGGAAGAGACTCTCCGATATCTCCTGCAGATTCTACTATTTCACGTAGATGAGGGGCAGGGATAATGCGTACACTAGAGCATATATATCCATCTGCCTGCTGCTGCTGTTGCTGCTGCTGTTGCTGCTGCTGCTGTTGCTGCTGCCCTGTAGAAGGGCTAGTGGATCCTCCTCCTCCTCCTGCTGCAGATCCTCCTGCTGCTGCAGGGCATGCAAGGAGTTCTAATATACCGCTGAATGTCTCTAAGCATGTCTCTATTCCGGATTGAAGTGTAGATGTAAAGAAAGCATCAAAACAAAAATGTCTCTTCTGCTCTGCCGGCATCCCCTTCACATTGCGACAAAACCTTGAAAATAACTGTCTTAATAGCTCTGCTTGCAGCCTACCATCATCGCTTAACTCTGCGACACCATCACTTGCGCTAAAAAACCCTGTCCTTTGCTTCCTTACTGTTGGCTGCACCACCACTATAAACAAAACAAAAACAAAGCAGACAAAAGGAGACTAGATTCTTCATCATTATATATATATACATATATATATATATATATACGCATAAAGCAGACAGAAGAGCAGACACAAGAGAGACAGGAGGAGACACTATATTTTATAATTATTATTTATTATATAAATAATAAATAAAGGAGACACAAGGGGAGACAGAGGGGACAGGAGGAGAATATATACTTTGTAATAATTATTTAATATATAAACACATAAAAGAGACAGGAGACACAAAAAAGAGACAGGAGGAGACTGTAGATTATATAACAATTATATGAAGTACACTGATTAAGGAGAAACGGAGGGAGACGCGAGGAGACAAAAGGAGACACCAGACATATATATATATATATATCTATATATATACATATACAGTAGATGAACAGATAAAGGAGACGGGAAGGGAGACAGTCGAGGAGACAGGAGGAGGCTCTAGATTATATAATAATTATTTAATAGACACGCAGACAACGTAGGCAGAAGGGGATACACAGGAGACAGCTAAGGGACACTTGAGAGACAGTTTGGAGACAGTTAGGAGACACTGAGGAGACAGTTAGGAGACAGTTAAGAAAGATTTAGGAGACAGCTAGGGGACAGTTAAGAGACATTTCGAAGACAGTTAGGAGCCAGCTAAGACACATTTAGGAGACAGTTAGGGTACAGTTAGGAGACAGTTAGGAGACAGTTAGGAGACAGTTAGGAGACAGTTAGGAGACAGTTAGGAGACACTTAAGAGACATTTAAGAGACATTTTTAAAGAGGGAGAGTGTGTGTCTTACGTCTCTGTGAGATTTGTCTGCTGCCGATGAGTTCTTCTCCTGTCCCTGCTGTCATAAACACCAACATCTTTGTTTCTTTATTTGTGTTTGTTTGTTGTCTCTGGAAGGCTTTAAATGCACCTACTAACTCAGAAGCCTCTCCTATCGCTCGAGGGGCCCCAAGAGGAGACAAAAATCGAGAAGGGATGCATGCTCTGTCTGCAGGCGTTACAGCGTCTTCGTTCGTTGTGTCTGGAGACAGAGACAAATCAAAAAGGAGACAGCAAAGTTAAAGGAGACAGAAGAGGAGACAATAAAGTAAAAGGAGACAGAAGAAAAAGATACAAAGAAAAGAAGATGGCTCATGGAGGAGGAGACAGAAGAGGATACAGAAAGTAAAGAGAGACAGAGGAGGAGACAGAAAAGAAAAGGAGACAGAAGGAAAAGGAGACGAATAACAAAAAGGAGACAGAAGAAAAAGGAGACAAAAAACAAAACATAAAGTGAGGCAAAAAAGAAAAGAGACAGCAATGAAAAGGAGACAGAAGAAAGGTAAGAAGACATAAAAGAAAGAGAGACAGAAATGAAAACAGATTAAGGAGGAGACAGTTTTAGGAGACAGTTCAGTGTCTCCTTAAACTGTCTCCTTGCTAATCCGCCTTCACATGTTGGAGTGAGAAGAGAGACCAGGAAAACGAGAAAGAAGAGACAGCAACAGAAGAGGAGACAGGAAGAAGAGACAAAGACAGGAGACACAAAAAAGGAGACAGCAGAAGAAGAGAAAGAAGACAGAGAAGGCAGACCGTATACTGTCTCTCCCGTCAGAGATACAGCAAAGGAGACAGCAATGGAGACAGCAAAGGAGACATCAAAAGATGCATTAAAGGAGACAGAAAAGTAAAAGAGACAATAAAAGGTATACTAAAAGAGACAGTAAAAGAGACAGTAAATGGCGGGACTCACGCCCCGGGATCGATCGCCTCCCGAGGAGACGATCCCGGGATCGATCATCTCCCAGTGATATCTTACCAGGGGCTGAGCTCCAGGTTTCATCGGAGACAGAATGATCTTCTTGTGTAGACTCATCCGAAGACAACTGAGCAGCAGCAGCAGCAGCAGCAAGCAGCAGCAAACAGCAGCAGCACCAAACAGCGCAGCAGCAGCAGCAGCAAACAAAGCAGCAGCAGCAGCAGCAGCAGACACAGCAGTAGCAAACGCGAGTTTTAAAATATATATAATAAGAACCACCAGGATAACAGTATGGAAGCAGCAACACTGCCTATGCCTCTCCCTCTGCTGCCTGCAAGAACCCTAAACCCTAAACCCTAAACCCTAAACCCTAAACCCTAGGTCCTGCAATAACTGCCCAACCCTCAAAACCTCCTTCTACTCCCGCTTCTCCCCCCTCCCCCTCCTTTCTCTGTTGCTGCTGCAGTTGCTGCTGCTGCTTCTACTGCTGTTGCTTCTCCTACTGCTGCTGTTGCTTCTGCTTCTGCTGCTGCTGCTTTTGCTGTTATTCGAATGATCTCTTACATCTGTCTGCTCCACATGCTCGCTGTCAAAGCGTTCAAGGAGACTGTAGCGGGGCCTGGGAGGCCAGCCAGGTATAGTAGGGCTAGACCCTACTTGAGCAGTATTTGCTGCAGAACCTTCATCTATAGGGGCCCCCCCCAGAGGGGGCCCCAAGGGGGGCCCCAAAGGGTCCACTAAGGAGACCCCCTGGGGCCCCAAGGGGGGCCCCAAGCTGTCCCCTAATGTACCCTCAACAGGGTCCCCTAAAGAGCCACCCATAGGGCCCCCCAAAGGGCCCCCTCCTACTAGAGGGGCCCCCGGGGGCCCCCATACAGCTGGAGAGCGGAAGGGCTGGGCGAAGAAGGAATTAGCAGCAGAAGTAGAAACGTTGTTGTTAGCAGCAAGAACAGCAATAAATAATGAAGATAAGACAGCAGCAACAAAGAAAAAGTAGAAGCAGGCCCCCATGGTGTGATGGCTGAAAAAGAGATAAGTTTAAAGCCCCCCCCCCTTCTAAGAGAAAGCAATAAGAGCCTAAAATATGCAGATAAAATAAAGAAAAGAAAAGATAATTAAATATATCAACAAAGAAAAACAATATACTACGACTCAAATGAAGAAGGACCCGATTGATTGCCCGCTGCAGCAGCAGCAGAAGCAGCAGCAGCTGCAGAAGCAGCAGCTGCAGCAGCAGCAGCGCACCGCGCGGCAATGGAGACAAAAAAATATTCAGTAAATAAACCTCTCTCAAACCCTTTTCTTCATAACAATCAATGCCTGCAGCAGAAGCAGCAGCAGCAGCAGCAGCAGCAGCAGCAGCATGACGCTCTCTAGCAGCAACCAAACAAATGATCGGGCTGGGGTCCTCACTGGGGCTGCTGCTGGGCCTCTTGAGTTGTTGCTGCTGTTGCTGCTGTTAAAGAAGCAAGTTTATTAATGCTTAATTTTTTTCTTTTGTTTTAACTCTAAAATACTCTCTTATTTATAAAAGCAAGCATAAATACACACATACTTAAACAAAAAATGAAGAGGGTAATACATGTAGCCCGCTCGGCGCCCCGAGCCGCACAACCGTGGTCTGCTGCTGCTGCTGCTGCTGCTGTTGCTGTTGCTGTTGCTGCTGCTGGTGCTGCTGTTGGTGTTGCCGCTGTTGCTGCTGGTGCGGCTGGTGGTGCTACTGATGTCCCCTGTACATTAAACACTAATTATTGCTTTAAATGCATTAAATATATTATTTATCTTCTTAACAAACCCAAACAGAGCTTCTGAATATCTACACTTCCTTAGCTGCTCCCGCGTACCCCCAGTACACCCCAGGCCCCACAGGGGCCCCACAGACTTATCTGAGAACTAAAAAAATAAATATATATCTTCTAGATATCTCTAGTTGCATGCATAATGCATGCAGACTGCATGCACGCTCCATACAGACTGCATGCACGCAGCATGCCCCATCGCTCACCAGCAGCACTCTATATGTTTATATAAATATATTCGTTTATAATTATAAAAATATTATATTTTATGCTTTATTAGTCTATTTGCATGCAAATCTTCTGAAAGAATGCCACAGACAGAGGTTGATACACCATGAACGGCCCTATGCGCGATACTCATAATGTATACGATTATATATATATATATATATATATATATATATATATATATATATATATAT